ATATAAATATTATATGAAATATAACAGTTTCACAAGAAAAAAGAAAAAATTCTTACTTTTAATAACCATTTGTTGCTCATATTGTTCAACCTGATTATCAGTTGCAGTATCCATTTCCATTCCTTCAAATTCTACATTTTCCTTTCTATTGCGCAAATGTTCTGCTTTCCGCTGCTGCTCGACTTGATGTTTCCACAATTCACGTATTTTACATTGACCAGCCACCAATAACTCAAAGAATTGCGCTGTTGCTTCCAATTGGATATTACAACCCGGACAAATTGTACATGGTAATTTTCCATCATCATAAATCTTAAATTTATATGTTTATAATTTATAACAAATATGTTATCATAAAACCATAATTAATATATAAGTATAAATAATTTATAATTTACATTATAATAATTTATATTCTAATGTTCATATATAGAATGAAAATAATATTGCCTATTTTTTTTAGGTAAATATCTTGTGCAGTTTACTTTTTTCTCTCCTCTCTATATTAAAGAAAGAAAAAGAATGAACCATACAAGAAATTTAATTAAACAAAACATTATATATGTACAATTAATAAAAAAACTGAAAGGAAACATGAGAGAGAGAGAGTTCATAATAAAAAAAAAGCTAAGGGATAATTAAATATGCTATGCATGAAATGATGAACATTTGATCAGTGTAGTAGCACTGTATGGAAAGCATGAAAATCGGAGTAGGAAATCAAGTTGCAGTCCGTATAACCGGCGTTTCGAAAACACAACGCTTTACCTTCAACGGCAGATAACGATTTACCAAGGAGCATAGATTCGATTCGCCTGTCTCACTGATGAATAGATGCTCGTTACCATTGTCCGCCGCGCACAAACGACAAATCGTTGAATCATATAGATGCATATCTATGATGTTCCTAATAGTAAAGTGAAATGACATCCTGAAATTAAATCATCTCGAGAAAAGACATAATGTATAAAAAATATATATATTATGAATTTATATAACAAATTTAGATCGACAATGCCAAAATTTATTGAGATTTTACCATTACTTTGTGTATACAACGTTGAATAAGCACTGATCGCGCTGTCTTAAACAAAGAGAAACATGCTGATCCCACAATAAGAAGGTAGTCTGCAGCATGAGAGCTTTTCAACAAGAAACGCAAATGACACAGTGTTGAGTGTGGCACGATCACGATAAACCGTTGCATAGCTGCGTTCAGAAATATTACCTGGGTGCCCTCAAGTATTATTTTAGGCCCTGCGCACAATAGCAGGAATAAGGAATTAATAAATGATTTTAAGAGACTCCGCACAATAAAAGGAACAGAGAACAGAGAATAAGAATTTCAATCTATCAGAAATCGGACATATCGAAATATACGATCGATTGAAATCGTTTATTCTTTATTCTTAATTTCTTATTCCTTCTATTGTGAGCAGGACCTTAAGCCTGCGGCACTCGAAACTTGTTTTCCTAAGAAAAAGCTAATGGCTTCTGCATTGGACGCGAAAACGCTCTGCCGCACAACAAATAATGCGGTAGCCAATAAGCCTTCAACTCCTAATGTGTGTCATTGATTACCGCATCTTATTTTGCCGCGTAGCAAGCGTTTCCGCGTAGGAGCGGCGCAAGCGTTTCTAGTGTGTAGGAGTCATAACTGAATTAGAATCTTGCCACCATATTGGCTGCGACGCTGGAGAGCGGTGCAATTGCGCACTGTCAATCACAACGATTTCTGCATAGGGAGTTTAGAGTTATTCTTTTTAACGCTGTGATTGACTTGTGCGTAATTGGGCACTTGTCATATTCTCGAGATAATAGCATTGACTGTTCTCGCACGGAATGCAAGAGATCCGAGTTTCCCGGCCGAGGTAATATTTTTCGCAATAAGAATTGATTATTTACAGATTGTAATATATTATTCATCAACATTATTAAGATCGTTTTGAAGAACAAGCATAAAAAATTTGTTAAATTGCCAATTGACTCGTAATATTACTATGATAGTTTAGTAGAGCGATTCAAGATTGAAAAATTTCGGCGTACGTTTCTGGAGACTACATAGTAGTATATAAATTCACACAAGAATCATATAAGCATTTAAGATCCAGCTAAACCTATAAGTTTAAAGTTTTGATTTCTGTAGATCGTGTTATGAAAAAGTTTTTCAAATTGAATAAAAAAAAGTTTTTATTTAAAAATGGATAAATGCTACTTAAATTATTCAAATTTAAGCAAATTTTTCGTTTTAATCTAACTAAATTTAAAAAAGTTGTGTAACGTAAAAATAATTAAGCTATGTATATTCTTTTGTTTCTTTGATTAGAAATAAAATGAATAATCGATGTGAACACTCGCACCAAGTCGAACACAGCCCGAATTAGACTCATCATGGCGCGCATCGGCCAAACGAGATTAGATTATCCGACACTTACTCAATGTTGTCTCATAATAATGTAATTTGTTTATATTTTATTATATCTGTTAAATGATATTTTTATTACATATCTATATAATTTTGTTATTAGTTTAGCTGGTTGTAATTGAAGTAGAGAATGAATAACAAATTTATCAATTGAAGAAATGGTGTAACATAAAAGGTAATCCAAAGGTCCCTAGTTCGAATCCCACTAAGGTGCGTTTTTTTTTAATACTAATTTGAAGTAGTTAATTTCAGGTATAATTATTACAAATGTCTTAGAAATAAAATTTGTAATCCTTAAATATGAATGTATCTTTTTTCGAATATTAAATTAGAGTTTAGAGCCAATCCATTTCAATCCATTTTCATGGACGTAAAGCATGCATTAAAAAAATTTTAATCCATTTTAATCCATTCTCGTTTACTGCTGGCTGTGTTCAATAAAAAAAGCAATTTTGCAACTGTTATAAAATTTTTTAATATGATTGGTCTTGTTCTTTCTCACTAGAACTAAATATATAAACCAATCATATCTATTTTCTCTCCCAGCAAATGAAAATGGATTGAAACGAATTAAAATAGAAATAGATTTTCAGAAATATTGATTCAAAATGATAAAATGAATCCTGAATGCATTTTTATTCATTTATATGAATTGCATAAAGCATATATCTCTATGCTTTTCAATCTAAAAATAATGTTAGCTTTTTCTGTGCATATATGTGAAGACTGTACAATTCAAAATTTTGAATAGGAAATGCAATTTTTCAATCCAATTGCATTCAATTGAATCTAATTGAATCCAATTGAATCCAATTAAATCCCCAAAAAATTCGCTATTTATTAATATTCGCTATTTAAAATATGCATTCAGATAGAAAAATTTCAATCCATTTTAATCCATTCTCGTTTACTGGGCTGCTGAACGCAGCCTTTGATATATTCTTTCAAATCTGCTAATTGAATGATCTAAAAGAATACACCATTAACAGCGAACGCTCACTCAACTGTTGAATCCGCTGAACGCAACTAATGAGTGCATTCAGTATTACAACCATTCACTGAGTGCTCAGTGAATTTTTGTATCTAATTGGCATATTCCAATAAATCCAAAAATATAGACCAAATAGATGCAAGAGTTAATGCCTAGTGAGTTTGTTCATTTTTGTTTTCACTTCGTCTAAAGAACCATAAGGCCACAGAAAAAAAGCTAAATAATAACTGCAGAGTTGTAATTAATTGCGCTGTTCCATTCCGCTGTAAATTTCTATTTATATGACGGCGAACTAATGGCTCCGGCACACCAGCGCGATATTAGGTACTCTAATAAGAGTCTTCAGGAGATTTATTAGGGTACCTACCTATATAGCGAAATAACATAATGCAAGAACAGAACGAATCACATATTCCATACCAATTGCAATTGGTGTAGAATATTTGTGATTGGTTCCACTCTCGTTACGCTATTCTGCTGCATGGGTAAACATCCTTAGCCCGGATCCTTATATAGACAACAGTGCTTTAATATAGAGCGTTGATTTGTGAAAAGCCTGTTGTGAAGGTAAAATTTACTTCTATCACCTATTTTTCCGCGTTTGGTGTCAAAGCGCTGTTGCGTATGAGGATCCAGGATTATGGTTCTCTAGACAAAATGAAAAATGAGCAAACTTACTAAATATTAACCAATAAAGTAAATAAGAAATGTTAACCAATGAAGTTATAAATATTCTAGTAAATTCTAGTAAATTCGATCACTCATAATTTTCACCTCGTAATAAGAACCGTAATAAGAACGCTCTCAGTTAGCATTTAGTGATTCTTTAATATGATTGGCTCTTGCCTTTAATTCTTAGTTAAACCTAAATATAGCAACCAATCGTATTAAAGAATCACTAAGCGCTAAAACTGAAGCTGCGTTCAACTAAACGCTCGCAACGTTCATGAGTATCGTTTGTCCTTGTTTAACAGTTGATAAACGACAAGGATGAAATGATTCCACGCAGAGAGAATCAAGGGAGAATAAAGCGGAAAGTGTTCTCTTCTCCGATTGATTCCGCCATTTATAGTGTATTTCCGCAAATATACATGCGTTTGAATATATGTACTATATACATATATGTCATAAGTCAATATTATATTTATCGTACGACAAAGCATTTCAAGTATTAATTAGTTGAAAAGAGAAGTCGGATCTCTCTATCATACAGCCAATCAATAAACTTGAAATCTTTGTCGTATGAAAAATATCGGCTACACACAATATTAGCGATACAATATTAGTGATAGTTTACATGCACTTGATACACGTACTAACTAATAACTTTCTATTAAATTATTTTAATTCAGCAATGTATTTAAAGAATAATGTACCAAATTGGTACAGTATACATTATAATGATTAATTAAACATATCATGTATATATTTCAATGTATCGTTATAATTAAGATCATTCAATAGAAAGTTATTATAGTACCAAGTGCACGATGTAAACTAATAGCGTTTTTCACTGGGAGAACTGGTGCGCACTCGCCGCGGGCAACGTATTTCATTCGAATGTACATGATCGGACAAAATCTCCGGTTGTAAAAATTATTATTTTAAAATTGTATTTCGTATAAAGAGTTTTGAAGTGCAATTAAAAAGATTTGTGAATGTGTTCTATTATTAATTATAAAGGGTCTGGTTGAATTTGCTGGATGATGGCGTTTGTTATGTTGACTTTGAGAGCATCAATTGTTTGCGGTTTATTCGTATAGACCTGCGATTTAAGATAGCCCCAAGGGAAGAAGTCTAAAGGTATTAAATCGCATGATCTCGGTGGTCAGTTCACGTCGCCGCCGTGCGAGATAACCCTCAAATCAGTCGTGCAGAATGTCCATCTTAGTGTGTGACACGTAGCGCTATCCTGTTGGAACCACATGTTATCGGTATCCATTTTATCATCCATTTTAGGCCACAAAAAGTTGCTTATCATCGATCTGTAGCGCTCGCCGGTTATGGCAACGCCCGCTTCATTTTGGAAGAAGTACGGACCGATGATTCCGCCAAACCAAAGTCCGCACCAAATAGTGACTTTCTCGGAATGCATTTGGAGCTGGTGTATCTCGCGTGGATTGTATCGTCCCAAATTCGACAATTTTGTTTGTTCACATATCCATTCATCCAAAAATGATCCTCATCGCTAAATTTGTTTGGCGAAATTGCGCGGAACGTTTCTCGAACGGAGCACTAATTTTGATAATAAAATTTTATGATTTCCACACGTTGCTCAACACTATGACCTTCCATAGTGATTTACCATACACTACTAAACAATTCACAACAAATTTGACAGATGTTACTTTAACAACATGGCTATTATGATCTAACAAATTTCGAGCGTCCCTATTGAAAGACCCTATAATTAATTATAATGAATCTTTTTTGACCATGTGCTTGACTTGAATAATCAGCCGGATCTAAATTCAATGTGCATACATAAAATCGTACTTTATATGAAGAGTTACATTAAAAATATTAGTGAGTCTTCCAGACACTTTTAATTAAGTATTTAAATTTCATGTATTTGACCGAAATATAGATTCAGGTCATGGCGCTATGGTCATGGAAATTCCGTAGACGCGATTGATAATCTCTCTAGTATTTCCTCCTGATTCTTTTCCGATTATACCATTGGTCTAGTCCCACCGAGGATTTAAATTGGATCAGAATGTAAGAACCAACTAACTACAGTCGAACAGTCCTCTGCCGTTCAA